ACTCCAACTATTTTTCTTTTCTTGGACTGAATTTATTTTTGCAGTACTACTTTCAACTATAAAACTGCAGAGATTAAACATAACATTAGCCACATCCTAACCTCCTTTCTAAAGGAAGTCTTGCCTTGGCTCAAACTTTGGAACCGTTCCTCTCCATCCAAGAAATTAACCCCTTCTTACGGAATAACTTACAGAAGGTATTAAGTACACCATAGAATTGAGAATAAATAAGAAAAAGACCTATGGAAGTCACAGTACCCTTCTCCATTCTGGTTTTGGAAGAAACAGAAGATCTTTATGATTTCAACCCAGACATGCTATCTAGCCTGAAGTTTTTAGAGCCTCAAACTACAAACAAACAAAGATTTTGAAAGGATTGTTGGCACAATAGTTGAAAGGCACAATTACGTTTGCCCTCTGGCTAGAAAGAACAGCTTCCCCCTCCCACCTGCTTCCCCCCTCCCCAAAATCTCAACATACTTAATGGAATTCGAAGACTCAGGTATCTTCAGGAATCAGATTCCTTACCTATCTGTACATTTAAGTCCTGGGCCTAGTGGTGTTTTTCAGATTCGCAGGGTATAAGCTACATGCATTTCTGTTTGTAATGCACTTAAGATAGATACTAGCTGAGAAAGGACTAAATTCTTCCTATATCAGACTTATATTTCGTATTTAGCATTTGGTGGGATTCCCATTGTCCCGAATGGGTTAACACTTCCCTTGCTCCCTAGACATCATCTCACCATCAGCACATGTGCTATTTAGACCCTTACAAGGAACTCCATGCAGGGGGAGGGAGAAGTGTTAAAACATGCACAATGCAGCAACATTTTCAGACATCATTCAGAAAAATAAACCTAGCACATCAGTGTTCTAGAAGTCCCTTTAGAAGCATAAAATTAGTATTTTCTGGTGTTCCAAGACAAAACCAAGGCAGACACCCCCAAAACCAGCTGATTAGAGTACTGAAAAGCAACTTCAAAAGGCAGAGTGTAGGTATGTCCTTCTTTAAGCTTAAATTTCAATTCAAGAAAACTGATCTGTCCCAAAGAGAACTGATTAATGCTTCTCCATTGGCAATTCCAATCTCTGATTTAACATGGAGTTTGATCATATTCATTGAAGACAAGGTATTGAAAGCAAGGGGAGAACTGCATTGTGCAGAGAACCCAAGCAAGTTTCCTAAACTTTTAGATAAGCAAGGACAGTAATTGCTGTTTGCCAAAGGTATAGTTAATCTGAAGTACGGACACATACCAGCCTTTGCTGCTCCAACAAAAGATCAGCTTCTTCTTTCTCCTTCTTATACAAAATCTCCATCTCTTGTAATCTGAAGATGGACCAAAAAACACAGAAGCAAACAAACAGATCATTATTTTCATACTATTCATGGTGACAGTCCTTATACAGAGCAGGACAAATTACAATGACAAAATAAAACTCATTCCTTTTCAAAGTTAACTGGTAATTGTCACTATATGATAATGAAAATTATAGTAATTTCTGCCCTCCTTTAACCTAAAAGGAAAAACAACAAAACAAGAAAAATAAAAATCTCAGTGTATTTGGAATAAGAATTCCTTTATATCTATTTAATGTACTTATTTTCAGTTGTATAGAAGTCTATCAGAGTATGAAAGATGAACTGAAACTTCCTGGAGTCTGCAGTACAATCCTGGATTAGACTCTATAGACCAGATCCTGGGGCAGTACATGGCTGGTGGCCAAACTGGATTTTTAAAGTAACTAGACCATTGAAGCATGTAAGTGAAGTTATGAGTAAGTTTTCTGAACATTTACTACATGTAGCAGGAAAACTAAATGGCAGATCCTGTATTGGGGTAGGTTGGAAAGGGACTTCAGCTTAGGTTTTTTTGTGGAAGCGTCATTTAAGAAACTTCCATAAAAACCCAATAGGCATCATTTTTGAGTTTTACACTGACATCAGCCAAACAGAGGTATAGCTGTTTCTTTCTTGCTTCAAGTGAGAATTCAGAGTTAATTTGTTACCTTTTCTCCATCTCCTGCTTCATGTCAATACCCTGCTTCTCCAGGAGCTCCCTCTGAGCAAATGTCCAGTCAACTGGCTCAGATGGAGTCTCAGCGGATGGAGTTTTCTCTCTCTCTGCTCTTGCTTGTTCTGGATGGTTGAATCGGAAGACGTGGTTTTTGCCCATGATGATACGATTGCCTAAAAGGGCAAGCAAGATTAACCGTTGGAGGTAAAGTTTCTAACACCAATGAAAAAGCACATTTTAACTATCAGTACCATTTATCCTGTTAGGTGGTAGCAGCAGAAATGACTGCCCAATAAGGGTTTTTGCATACATTCAAGTTACTGGGTGACAAGGAAAACAAAAAAGAATGCTCTGTTTGTACAGAATAACCTCCTTCTGCTATAAGGAAATGTTCATAGGGAACATCACCTCAGGGGACCAATCTAACGTTCTGGAAGAGTTTGCTAAAATTAAAAGATAGACTTGGACATTCACCAACAGTTGCAGTAAATAAAACACATTACTTAATCCCATTCCTCTCCTCCAGAAAATGCTACACAGAATTCCCACTTACAATGTTAAAATACAGGCAAAAGCCATTTCTACAGGTTTTTCAACTTGGAATAGCCTGACTTGAAAGGCTTGAATGCACTGGGCTTTCTATTTTTTTTTTTTTAAATGTGGTTTACATGTACTGTTTTTATTTGAATCCTAAGGAATGGAATTTATGGAAGCTTTTTTCACTACGGGAAGAGCCACAAAAATGTAATATTGCCAGTCTCTAGGGCTGCCCGCAAAACATGCACTTGATGGAACACAGCAAAATGCCTCAGCTCTCCCAGTGAACATATTACTATAGTAATATGCTGCCTTCCTAGTAAAGGGACCTCCAGAATAAACAAAATTGTCCTTATGAAAACAGTGCTAAAGCACAGGCTTTTGAAGCTGTAAGAGACTCTTAGTTGTTAAGAGTAACTTAGTTGCTTAGATGCTGAAAAGGAAAAATATCCACTTTTTTTAAAAAAATAATAATAATAATTGCTGAACACCACAGTTTTCAGTATGAGCCATATGCAAGTGCAAAACAACAAAATACTCCCCCTTCATTGTCCAGTTTTCTGCTAATGTCACAACACTTAACTCCATACAAATTCTCCTTTATAATCTGGTGTAAATGATTCTGAGGTGTTTTTAAACTACTGGGAGAAAGAGGGGGAGAACCACAGAGAGCATCATGGTTCAAAAATAATATATATACATATAGGACAGCTAATAATTTAGGGAAGTCACTCCCTCCCTTCCTTCTCCTGTAAGGATTTCTAAAGCAAAGTAGGGGACTGAGTGAGAAACCAAATGAGAGGAAAGAGAAGCTGTTGTACTCCTGCAGAGAGTCACATTTAGCTGTGCCAGGAAGCTGGGAATTTTCCATCAGCAGCTGGCAGTCTGTCTGTTCTGTCTCACTGAGACTGCCAAGGGCAATAGGCTTGGGCAAGAATGTACTAGAATAATATCAGGGTAAGCAGAAGGACAAGCAGGATGCTGTGTGGCAGTGAATATTTAAGTACACTTTCAGCTGGCGCAGCAAAGAGTAAAGGAAGAGGAATTGTTGCCAAGAGAAAAATGGTACCAGCTATTGTTCCAGAGCTGTACTCCAAAAAGGTAACAATACTGATCTTTATCAGCACATGATGCTCTCTACAAAAGATTTGTATGAGTTTAAGACAAAAAAAAAAATTGAAAACTTCTTACCTGAGCGCAGCTGCACAGGCTGCACTACTCTCTTGCCATTAACATAGGTTTCTGATCGTTCACAAGGCTCCAAAGTAACAATAACTACGAGGAAAACAACATTGACAAATAAGACTTCAGAGAGCACTGTAGAGAAACACAGAAGTGTGCAAACCCAAGAGCTCTCTCTCCTTTTCAAGGCTTTCTGGCTATCTTCCTACTAATATCACAACACAGTACAAGTACAATGATATCGTGCCACTTAATAAAAAGCTCCAGAGAATCAATGCTACTGATATCTCAATATTGAAGGAAATAATTGGCTGTTTAATTTTTCATGTTTATAGTTAACCAACACAAGAACTTAAGTCTCATACTGAGTACAGCTTGCAATAAGCTGACAAATACCTCACTAGAGGGGTTTCAATAATGATTTTAAACTTTCGCATCTTCATTGCTTTCCAACTCATTTCAATCCTGGAGTTACAGCACATACAGAATGCAAAACAGATTTCATCCTGAAAGGCTGTTAGTTTTCTACTACTGCTGAGATATTTTTAAATTAGAGGTGCTCAGCACTATACACCTCTGCACATCAGAAGTGAAGGAGAGAGCACACTGACTGAGACATCAAGATTGTTTTAAATTCTACATTTCCAATAACACATTTTGATCATAACTTTGCCCCCAACAACCAGTTAATTTCAGCCAACTAAAAACGTACTTAGAAGGTCTGCATGTTTCAAGCAGTCATCTAAATACTTATTCTCTCTCCATTTCAAATATCAATATTTTGAAGCTAACATTAAACAACCCTTTATCTTTCCCCACGATTCACATCACTCAAAGCTCACAGTTTTCCAAGGAAAGGTATATTTCGGCTTACATTCAAATAAAAGTATTTCCTGACCAACTGAGGTATGAAAAATTCAGCAACACTTTGCAAGGAGTAATAGTTTTTCACCTTCACCATTGTTGTTCCTCTCGCTTCGAAAGATACAGTGCTCTTCTTTAATGTGAGCCCCACTCAATACAATATCTTGCCTTCGCTCAGCATCAGCTTGTCCAACCCTGAATCCAACAGAGAACATTTCAAGAGCAACTCAGACATTTCTTGCAAGTTTGTGTAGAACAATACATTCGAGAAATATGCAGAGAAAATCTAGACTACTAACTTTGAGTTGAAAGACTTGAATTATAACATACAGTACTTAGCTCTGAAGTGTAGAAGAGTTACCAGATGTATCATGAATTGGAAGATAACACATGGTGAAGAGGAAAAATAATTTTTCTCTCTCTTAAAACATACCATCTAGAGAGTAACTGCAATTGTAAACATCTCTGGATCTGGGGCACCAAAAGACAAAGGGACAGGAACTTCCCGTGATTTATTTAGACTGGCATACAGCAATTAACCAGTACCTAACTTTAACAAAAAAGCAAGAAGTTTACTATTTACTGAATAATCTGAATTTTATGAACAGTTTCACCTAGCTTTCAGACAGCAAGAGGTTGCTGCATCCCTGAAGTGTGAACGTTTACATCCATTGCGAGCTTCAAATATTTGAAAAATCCTAAATAATTGTTACTTGTAAAAATGGATACCTTAGTTTTTCTCCCTAAAATTTCTGATCTTCCTGCTCTACTCACTGCCATACATGTTTTTAGCATCAGATGGCTAGGCTCAAATTTAGCAAAATTCTCTAAGACATAAACTATGCTCATCATTCTGCTCTGAACTTTCTACCACTTTGATATTCTTTTTAGTAGATCAGGTGCAAGTCTAATCCTCTCTCCTTCCAGAGGTCTTGGAAAAAATACCCTTTTAAACTCCAGTTGGACTTCAGAGTGTATTAACACCCAGCCTCACCTAGTAACACCATCTTTGATGTAGTAAAGCAGACATTCAGACATGAGTGGATCTTCATTAAGGTTTACCAAATGAGGAGTCTGAAACAAAAGAGAAAAGTCAATTAAGAACTGAGCACCTACACAGGCTAATCTGGCAGTCTTGCTAGAAACAACCAAGTTATTACACAATTCATCTTCTCCAAATACAATATCTTGCACTACAGAAAAGCACCAAAAATTAACAGCAGAGTTTTAGCCAACATTGGCTGATGTTTTAGGTAAGAAAAAACAAAGAGGGGAGGGAGGGAAAGACTGACTGAAAAAATAATCCTTGTAAATAATCCTTTTTCCTTGTAAAGTCTCTATAAACTTTTCTACAGGAAATCCAAGAGCAGAAAATGATGATGTTTTTGTGATATTTCAAAAGTGATGTGAGAACATTTTGGCTTTTCTTAGACAGTACAGATCAGGTGTTCCACTTTGCAAAGCCCATTAATGTTAAAAGTAAATCTAGAACTATCAACATTTTCTGATACAACAGCTAAAGATCTCTTCATCTAAAGTTCTTTTTAACTGAAATCCACTACAGTTACTAAACCAACCTTCTTTGGTGAAAAAACCCCATTGGAATCAGCAAACAAGTCACATGGCCTTGGTGTGAAAATCTAGCCCATGAGATAGCAGTAAACACAAAAGAAAAGGCAAAAATGATTAAATAGAATGAAAGAAAAAAAGGTGTCAAAAGAAAGATAATGTTACTAAGCGTCCTTCTTCATTTCGTTATCCTCAATTAGGATAACTTAAGAAAAAAAATAAAGAAGGCTAGGATTGCTTGGAAACACTGCTTTCATCAACTTATTCTACCTACAAAGTAATTTACTTAATAAACACACTAATGACACTCAGTGTATGGAAGCTCTAAAATTACTAGGTGCTAACGACAGATCTTTTCTTTGAATAAAGAAGTCTGGTCATGCATGGCTCAGCAGAAGATTAATGACACAGACAAAAGACAGGGGGAAGAGACACCTTATTCGCCCCTAAAAATATAGAGGGCACCCAGAAGCACAGCTGAAGATGTGCCACATTGTCATCCCTGTTCACTGCATAAAAATGAACATATGGAGCTGCATGAAGCTCTTCAAAGAAGAAACTTGAGAGAAACCAAATCCCAGACATAGCCAACTGCTGTAAACAACACTGTCTTGTACCATTTGGGCACTTTGAAATTAATGCTGTACTCTAGACATGCATGTTTTAGCATCTGACTTTATACACTATGTTCCAATTATAGTCTGAATAGGTGACAAGAGAGCTTTGTAAAAAATACAGCTCAGCAATTTGAAAGGGGGTGCTGGTAAAACAGGCTATACACTCATTTTGAGATTTATTATTTGGCCACAGAGTAATTACATTTTCAGCCTTTCTCTGTTCAGCATTCCTCAAGCAGGAACTAAAGGCACAACCAGTAAAAATGGCAATGGTTGCTTAATATGGATACCTTTTAATTCATGAAGTAGAAAAAGGCCACCTTACACTGTTCAATCTACAGCTCGTGTGTTAAAAATACAACACTGTCCCAAGTATTATACATAGCAAAAAGTTTTTCAAAACAACTTCAAATTTTCTATCTACAGCTCTGCAATTTTTACCACAGCAGCCACAACAACTAAAAGGAGAACTAGTGGGAACTGAACTGTAAGGATAGCAAGGAACAGAAGCAGACAGCACTAGATCAGGAGGTGGAAGGTTTACTTCTGCTAATAAATCCTGCATGAGGAAAAAAATATATACTATCTATTAGCAACTACTTATCCTAGGTGGCACTTTTACACAAACCTGGTCAGCAGAAAATGCATCAAAAGAATCATCAAAAAGAGTTGATGGCCTCTGAGGGAAAATCTAAAAGGAGATTAGGAGCCACAACATCAGAAGCAAAAGGAAAGAAAGCTCTCAAGAATTAGTGCCTTTACAAAACTAAGACACTTCTGGAGTACATACCAAAAGCCAGCCAGAGTTCTGCTTACCCAAAACATAACAATGTTATTTTAAGCAAAGGCTTACAAATTTTAAACAACTTTGCCATCCTATGTTTCTTTATAATGCCTCTGATTGGCCCCGCTTTATCCTTAGATGAAAGTTTGTTAAACACTTGCATATGCAAGTTTCAGGCTAAAATATTTTGCTTGTTATTTTTTCAAAGACGTATGAAGTACAAGAAAGGAGTTTCGTTTCTTTGCAGTTCTTTAATTACGAATTCTGCATTAACTGCATAAATAACTTCTTTTGTAACTTCATCGTGTCATGTTTATGGCATTGATTTATGTTCTTATTCTTCCCAGTTCTGCTGCTTTCAAGACACGTACTGAAACAATCTCTTCCCTACCCTCTCTGGGTTCCACTGTTAACTCACCAAATTTCAATCCCCTTTACCTGGTTGGGAAAGGTTGAATTGAAGAAATATCATCCAAACAAGACTATCAGTCTCTGACTCACGGGTGAAAACCTTCATATGCAGTTTGACATATTTTAACCCTAAAGATGCTGTTAAAAGCTTACTATAAAAGCAGCTTATGACTCCAAACCTCACTTATATCCTTCTGTACCTTACACAGACATGAGATCTTGTGTGTGTGGCAGATCCCAAATTGATCAGCCTTTTGTGGACACGTCTCCACAATTAGCATCAATCTCTCTACCTTTTTAGGTGAGAAGACTCCCAGCGTTCCTCCATCTTCACGAATGGCAACTCCCATTTCTGCCAGCAAAGCCTCCCTGAAAAAGAAAAGCAAGGTACTTGCTTATTTTAGGCTTCAGAAACAACATTTCTTTGCTTTCAAGCAGCCTATCCACTAGCCATACAAACAGGACTGACACTAATAATGCAATAGGCTAAGTTCCTAAATTTAAGAGGCTGCAGAGTTCCCAAAGTCTGCAGAACAGCCACAGCAGAAGTTTTACATAGGATTAAAATTGTTTTAGTGCAAGACTTTCCATAGATTTTATGACATTATATTCATTGACTACTGAAAGAAGAATTTTTGAACTGTAACAGAAAGCAAGAGGAGTAAGAAAAGAACCAGTACTTCATTCTGTTTCACAACAGAAGCTGATGCAGTAACTCAGGATGTTAACTGAGTTACAACTCTAAACACTTACTGTAAAAAATACAGGAGAGAGCATGTCTTTCTTTCAGCATTGTCTCTACTGTTACATAAAATACAAAGAACAGCAGAATTATCATTAAATGCTGTACTGCTGTTGCATTGCTTTTAAACAAAGGAACATTCTCCTCTTTCCCACACCTCTCTTCTCCATTTTCTCTAAAGTATCTACAGCAGTTCTGAGTCCTGACCTTTCCATCCTAATGGCCTCAGTCTTTCGCAGTTTCTCTTCCCACGTTTCATTCAACTCTGCAATGATCTTCTCAGATTCCTGTGTAAAAATCCAGAAGCTATTTTACAGTCCCTCTTCAGAAATTTCTCTTTAGACCAATACACAAAACCATTAGAGATCATACTCAGCTCTACACTTCAGTTTAATTTTGGGTGCAAAAGGCACCCAATAGTTCAAATCTGTAAGTTGTCTTCATAATATTCTGCTATTTCATAGTTACTCATTCATATTTTTATTAGATGGTCTTGAAGGCAAAGTGAGAAAAACAAAAATACTTCAGCTAGCAACATCTTTGACTTGAGCCACTTAGATTTAAAAAAAAAAAAAAAACACACAGTTTACAAACATCATTCAGTAACTGGATGCCAGGGGACTGCAGAGACCACACCATTATTTCCATGGCAACAGCAGGTTTCTGACAGAAAGGAATCCGCAGTGTGTAGTTCAGCCCACTCCGAGCCCTGTGGCAGTCTCTCATGCACAAGAAATGAGAAAGAAGCCCAGATTTAACTTGGACTCCCCACTCACCCCATTCGCCCATGGCAACTGGGGGCTTTGGTAAAATGAAGAAATACTTCACTGCAATGCAATTTTGATGCTGTTGAAATCTATGCAGAATTTGGACAAGGCTGCTATTGTCTGGACAGAGCGTGCTATTCTGTGTGCTTCACATTTTAATCTGTGGGGGCTGGGTGAATACAACAGTGGCAGGATTATTCTGCTTCCTTTTTTTCCAGCTTGGAGGTAATTTAGGATCTGGAAGTGGCTAGTCAAACCTAATCCACACTAGTGCTAAGCAGGCCTCTTGAAATATGCTTACAATCAAATCTCCCATTTTTCCTTGTATCAGATGACCAGTAAACAAGAACAAAGACTTCCTTTTACAAATTCAGGTCCAGTTCCACATGACAATTAAATCCTAAAAGTCACAAAAGAAAAGCCTGTGCATAAACACAGTCTCTAACTCATCTCACTTAAATGCACTGTCTACGGTACAAGTAATATCCTGGCTATGTTTACTGAAGGAGACTTCTCCCGGTTTCACAGCAATTTAATTTGAAAAAGACCAGAATGAGAGCTTTCTTTATCAGCAATACCTACCTTCAAACGTTCAATTGCCTCTTCTCCTCCAGGTGTTGACATGATTCTTTCCTGTATACTTGACACAGATGTTAAGCCCACCTGACTACTGAGAGAGCAGGAGGACGGAGATGCAGTGAGGGACCCCATGGAGGCTGTGGAAAAATTGCCAGGACGTTGATTCTCGGAGGCTAGCAAGTATCTATGTTTATTGTTCTGAAAATCTTTCAAATCTGGGAGAGAAAGACAGAAGGAAAGCAGAGGGACAGGAAAAAGGAAAAGAGGAAGAGAAAGGAATAGGAAAAGGAAGATAGGAAGGAAACACCAGTGTAAGAGGAAAGCATTTGAGCAGCAAGACAAGTTTTGCAATTTTTAGATGGCAGTTCTGAAACAAATCCTTTAATATTAGCATTCCTGACAAAAAATAGCTCAGTTTAGACCCTATGGATAATAAATAAGAATTGATTCTTAAGCCAGTCTTAAGAAAGAATCTCTGAAAGAAATACATATTCACCAAAGAGAACTGCATAATTCAGAGGAAATAACTTGCTCTGCTGGTTGGGTTGCCCTGTGTGTAAGCACATACTGAACTGGTGAGCAATACTGAGTTGAGACCAGGAACAGATGAAGTTACTGGTGAGATTTATAATATTTGGGGCTTAAGTCTGAAAACAGACCACCCTGAAATTCAACAAAACATTCTCTTCTAGACCCCTCTAATCTATAATGATGAAGTAAATACTTCTCCTAGAAGTAGTTCTGCTGCTGAAATAACTGGCTTCAATGTCTGAGAACAACCCCCTCCTCAAACCCTCACAGGATAGGGGGTACATTCGAAACCATCTGCTCAGGTCATGACAGGAAGAAAGGAACACGAGTTCAACTACAGTTGTGTTCCCCTTTGGCCCTCCTTATCTTGGAAATCTAACACACATAATTGGTCAAATATCTGCTAAAAGTTATATGGTCTGGAAGATACTTAAAGCTTTTTGGTGAAGTTAGAAGAGGAAGGATTTAAAAAACAAATGAAGCCTAATAAGACAACTTGTGTAACCTGGAAAACAAAAAAAACCTACACATTATCCTTTGGAGAGGCAGAGAGCACAGAAGGAAAATGCACATGATTGACTTTAAAAAAGACTATCTAGAAGCAGTTTATTTTGATTTAATTTGGCTTCTCAGATATGTCTATAAATTATATCCTGAAACTAATCACAAAAATATTCTAACATGGAAATATTAGACAGTTAAGTAGCTCAGTTTCAACACTTTTGATGGTTTAAAATTTTAATTTAGAAATAGATCCTTTAAGGTAAATATCCTTGGGAAATGAGCAGCTCAAATCAGACTTTGCGAGTTATAATTATGGCTCTTCACCATAAACCAGTGTTGCCAATAAAACTTACGAAAAGAAGAGATGCTCACCCAGACATTGCATAAATTTCCATGTCCTCCTACATCTCCTCTACTCCTATCCTGAACAATTCTGCTACCGTAAGCCTTATGCCCTAGTTCACATTCAAACTGCTGTATCAGTCTCATGAAATTGATGATTGCATCAAGCCAGTTTGAAAACCACCATCTGCAAATACAGGAAGCAGGGGTGGAAGGTTCACAAAAGAAGAGAAGGTTAAGGAATGGGAATGGCATTAGGATGAGGAAAGCAGGCATGGCAGAGCAGGGAGGAAGGAGTCTTGAAAGGCCAATATACATGCACTCCACTCCTGGAGATAAAGCAAGTGGCACTTGCAAAAGCTTTGGCAGCTGCTGGGACCTACATGCACTCCACTCCTGGAGATAAAGTGGCACTTGCAAAAGCTTTGGCAGTTGCTGGGACGAGAGAACCAAACCCCTCAACACCATGCACACTTCTTGGGAAGGCTGCAGCTCTCACACAGATGGCATATGCACACACTGGAAGCAGCATCAGAATGCAAGATAAGGCCAGGATGAGTCTTTACACCAGCAGTAGCTTCAATTCTAGGAAATTTCAGACAGATCTCTTCCAGTCGAGATTTTGTTCACAGTGAGGGTGGAGAAGAATGACTGAAAAAAAAGTTTACGGCAAAATCTACCAACCCAAAGCTTACCAAGAACACACTTCAGACATGCAGACATTTCTCTTGCAATGCATTATGCCCATGTCCCTTTCAGTTTTAAGGACGGCTTCTGTGAATGTTTCTAACCCTAAAGCTGATCATCTTTAGTTTCTTCACACTGAAGATATTTTCTTCAGAAGGATAACAAGGCTCCATTCGGCAAAGCAACTACCTTGATAACCACAAATTTAAGAGCCCAAATAAGGGACCATCATGAGCAAAAGATGCCTAATACCTTCTTTGCGTAAAAAGAGATTATATTAAAAACTCAGTCTCCAGAAGGAGCCAATACCGCTCCATTTTAAGTTAATCAATTGACGTTTACAACAAGTGTTTTTATGTGGAAAAGAAGTTAGAAGGCAGAGAAGCCCAAATAAGTAGCAGCTATTTTAATTCAGTAATTTCAGCAAGATCTGAGAAGATGATGCTCTGTTTTGAATATAAAACAGCAGCTGCTACAAAAACTGGCTAAAGAGTTACCATCCCCCTCTACATTCTGCCATCAAGGAAGCAATGGACATTACCATGTTGCATTTTTAACTTTGTACTTATTTTTTGACTGGTGATTCCTTACAAGAAATGTCGATCAAGCTCGTCTCCACAAAACTGCATTACATTCCACAGCAAGTGTTCTGTCTGGGATTTCCCTGTGAGAAATGCTGGCATGCAAAGCTCAGTTAAAGGCTGACCCAGAGAAAGCAGGTTAAGAGGAAAACCACACGATACACACATTTGCCTCCACTTCCAGGGTATTCATCTCCCATTGGTTCAACTGAAGGGAAGCAGGGGGGAAAATACAAGAAGGATCAAAGTTCAAGGTTTAACAGTGACATGGGTAGGGCAGAGAATAATACTTGATGTTTAGAGGAAAAAAAGCACAGTTTTCAGTAACATGTCACTTCAATTTTGTTTTAGAAGAAAAAAAAAACCCACACTGTACCAAGCATGGCAACACCTGCATTTCATTGTCTTGAAAACACAGAGAAAATAAAGTAAGCACTGACAAGACAGAAACTACTGCAACATATACTTTAAGTTACACTGAGCCTTATTCTTTTCTTTAAATTGAAAGAAAGAATCTACAAGAGTGTATTTTTTTAATTGGCATCTTCCTCACTAGGAACTAAAGTACTGCTCCTGTAATAAAAGGATGTAGCAGTTAAAGCTGCAGGTTGCTTGCCTTATTTGGAGTGAGGGACAGGAGATAATTCAGGCACACACCTGTGCAGGGGCTTTGAGAGGTAACATTGATGGCAAAGCAAACCAATATTCAGAAAACGTGAAACCTCCTACAGACCTCCTACAGTGCAGCTCTGTCAAACTAACCTCAAATCTTGTCCCCAAGAAATTATTTCGTCCACGAACACCTGCTTAACAGCTAATTGCTTAGTATGACAAGTGCTCCACCATTCAGGACACTGTCTAACAGGAATTACATAACAGGAAGTATTTCCCTTTCTGAGCAAGGACAACACTGGAGGCAGGTATTAACTAGACCTTTTATCCCTGAAGCAAAAGTAAAAGATGCCTTCACAGAATCACAGAACGCTTAAGGTTGGAAGGGACCTCTAGAGATAATCTAGTCCAACCCCCCTGCTCCAGCAAGGACACCTAGAGCACGTGGCACAGGGTGGCATCCAGGCGGGCCTTCTCTCTCAGTATGACATTAGCTTATCTTCCAATACCACAGCTATCCTCTTTTAAGAGCAGCTAAACAAATTAGCCTTCATAACTCACCTTCATTCTTTAATGAAGTTATATTACAGTAAATCATTTCTACAGAAATTCCAAACTCCAACTCAGTTTAATTTTAAGAGTTTGAAGGCAGCTTATTAACTCCTCAGAAGATCCTAGGATGGGGTTTAAAAAGGGGCTACCACTCCTACGACCACATGAAAATTTTAGGTCAGCACCAGCTGCACTATGGCAGGGATTGGCAATGTCCATTTAATCCACTTACTGTCAATAATATCTCCCAGCCCTTGGGCACGCAGGAGATCCTTAAGCCGGGTCACCTCCTCCTTCAGCTCACGCACCAGCTTGGCATTGGGGTCCTCGTTGATAACAGCATTGCATTTAATCTGCTTTGCACGATCAGCATATCTGAAACCAACCAAAGCAAACCTTGTTAAACTTATATTGTATGTATAAGCGCTTATATGCAACAAAAAAAACACAGCAATGCAAAAGACATTTAGCTTGAAGTTGTCGAGCAGAACAGAATCTAAGATTGCATTCAGTGATGCTCTGAATTCAAGTTCAATACAGGGTACTGGTGCAAAAAAGACAAGCCCTCTTCAAGCCCCCACTTTGCATTAACAAGGTGCTGTTGAGGCCTCAGCTCAACTAATATGCTCAATTTTAGGAACCACACTGGCAAAGAATATATGAACATGAAAAGATGAGTTCTATCAACTTCAGGCCTAAGTGTAGAAAATAAATTCCTAACTGTAAACACATTCAAAAAGTTAAGTCTTCCCCTTTCAGAGCAATTGACTTGTTATATTATAGAGTTTTCTACCCTCCTCCCAGATGTTTAAGCCATAATAGCTACACCCTGTCCTTCAAAGGTTAAGGTATTGAAACTAATTGCTAACCTGTCCCATCACAGATAAAAAAAATATACCTTAAAGTGCTCAAAGTTTCATCGTAGTTTATGTCTGCTGGACTCAAAGCAGCCACCATGGCAGTTCTGGAGTTACCACCTGTAATGAAGAGGCAAGGGTTTTCATGAAACTGCACTGTACAGTTTAGGCACTATTTACCTACTGACTATCAGTGTTTTCTATAAATTGCAAAAATTCAGCTATATCCCAAGCACCACATGAAGTCATAGGATAAAAAAAGAGCTGACACTTTAACTGAGAGTAGAATCTATGACGCAAATTTGCCTGTTAAAAATATTTAACTTCACTGATTTAAGTAAAGGGAGATAAAAAGAAATTCTGTAGGGGCACAAGTAAATTAGCCATACCTAGATTTTCTCGAAGCAGCCATGTTAATACAGAGTCCCTGTACGGTATAAAGTCTGTTTTCTTCTTCTTTTTACTCTACAAGAAAAAAAAAAAAAAAAGACTGAAAAATACACACTCATTGGAAAATTAAAGTTTAAGATGCACTGATCACAGAATACGTCCTAAAAGCACTATAACAGTATATACACAGGCTACCGAAACAGAGCCGTGACCCATCCTCAGTTGTACAAGTGACCGAGTTTAGTTTTAGTTAACACGCAACATACTCAAATATCTAGTGATGATAAGGAACCCAAAGAATTTCCTTGAAGCACTCCCTTCAGAAAGGTTTTCCTATGCTTGTATGCCAGAAGGGCATCTAAAGTCTATCTTCTAATACCATTCTCACACAATCCAGCAGTAAATCTTAGTATTCCAGATTAATTTTTTACTGGGGAAGTTTAAGGGGAAAGACTAATCTTTACTCTGTTAGAATAAATGTAACTTTCTAGAGCTCTCAGAGGTCCATCATAGGAGCTTCCACAGCTACAAAGACACATGTGAAAGAAGAACTAGTTAATCTTCTGTTGACTTATGAATAGTTAGTATGCAAGCATCTTGTCTCAGTGGTTTAATTAAGGGTTTAATTCCACATAACATTTAACACAGGATATGACTTTGCAATAAAAGGCTCAATTATAAATTGTGTGGAAATTCTTCTTAAGACTCAAGAGGTGCATTAAAAGCAACTATTGGTCTTGCAATAACTCTATCCCTCCTCCTTGCTTCCAAGGGGAGGAGGATAAAATTTTACAATAAAATAAATAGATAAATAAATCCACTACTACACAGACCCACCATACCTTGCTGGTGCAGTTATCCTAAATTGAAAGCATAAGAGGAAGAAGATACAAGGTGAGCTTCTTAATAGGATTTTATATATAATTTTTATGTTAGCTTGGAAAATATTTCCTTTTCTTGTAGAATTAATCAATGAGAATACTTTTCATACAAACATCTCAGAAGCACTCAGAAATATAGTCAACCTGTCCAATCTCGAGAAATCACTTTTAAAAACAGCAGTAGCAGTTATGTTTTCTTTTGAGAAATACTCTTTGAGAAGTGCTCTTAGTACTAAGTAGAAAAGTACTTTTAGTAAAGTATTATGTTTGCATCACTAAAGATTTATTTAACCAACATAGTAGTAAATCTCAGCTTTGGAAAAAAAAAGCCAGGGACAATCAAATTATTACATTTTTAACATTGAAACCAGGAAATCTGCAATTACTTTTATTATCTTATTCTTTTAAATATAATTAAAACAATTGTTCTGCAGAACCAAAAGCTTGCTCAGCTAGCATGTCCACTCTGTAAACATTGGCTCCTCTGGCAAGGAACATTCACATTAACTACCCTAATACTTCAATCTATCATGAAGTTTCTATCAGGCTGTACGAGGTTCACAGAATAGAGCACATCTACCCAAATATACATAGCTAGCTAAGCCAAGAACAGTGAATGATTCTACTGTAATTCATTATTTTTATTGTCCCAGTCTTACTAGCTATGGAAATTTTATTGTGGGTAAGAAAATATTGTACTTACTGTACTTACCACTTCAGCCAGCGCTGAAATAACCTTGCCCAGAGTTGTGAGAGACTTGTTTATATTTGCTCCTTCCTAGGAAAACAGAATCCAGTATTACATAACTTCTCAAATTGTTAAAACATGACCTTCTGCAGACTAAAGGAGCTAAAAGCCACATCCATGATTTGAGAGGGAGGGGGAAAAAAAAGGCCACAAACCTTTAGCCTTGTAAAAAAGACATTTCATTCCAAGTCAGGGCCATGATAACTCGGGTCTTAACAACCTAATTTCTCAGACACATATCTCCACTACTTTTACTACACTCAACTGACCAAAAATTCCAGTGACATGTTCAAAACAAATCCTCCTACAGATCAAGAAGAATCAGACTTTTTCATCCAATCTGATTTCCAAACAGTAGAAAGTATTGTTTTAGTATTGTTCACCTATTTAATCCTTAAGAGAAGACTGAATCTAGATATGTTGTGGAGTATTTTTTTCCATCCTTTTTTTTCCCACCCAAGATGATAATGAGAAATAGTCTTCTCATTATTTGTCAAGCACAAGTTTCCTTGTGATGCTTTTACATCAACTTCCCTTCTTTTCTCCATACTCAGCTGCCTGATACCTTCAATCGAGTTCCTTTGGCACCAGTTGAATCAGCTCTCTCACTCCCAGCCAGATCCACGAGGCTAATCTTGCTGACCTGAAGAAATGTGTTAACAACTAGAATTAGTTTGTGGTGAACTAGAATAAGAACAGATCTTGAATTAATTATATGTCATTAAAAGAACTCTACTGCCTATAAATTAAATGTGCTTAACGCTACAAGTGTTTCACCAAGTTTGCACGATCAGCTTGACACTGCTCTCTTATGAATAAAAAGAACTCTGACCTAAGTTCTGTTTTAAATATCACTACACTCTAAGTTACTTAAAAAGACTCACATGAACAGAGAGCAAAACCAAATACCAGAATTTAAGTTTTGCTGCTAAAGATGACATAAGAATCTCACAGACAGACTTATGTTTCATCCTGCCTCTAATGACATCAGGAATAAAATATTGACACTGGAGACTACTTATCAGTTAATGATAATTTTGTATAGTCAGATCATTGTGAAGGGAAAAAGGAGAACTCTTCAATACAATTTTCAGATATCTTCAGTGATCAGTATAAAAATGTGAATGTTAATTTTGTACTTTTGCATGCAGAGCCTTTATTTCAGAGTAATAAAAGCTAGAAAACTGCTCCATAGAGGTCTTTTTTAATATGCAAATTCCAGAAAGTCCTAACTAGAATTAGTAAGGACTAGTAAAGAAAGAATTTGGCAGTGACAGGCAAAAACAAAGAAGGTCTGTGAACAAGACTTGGGAAGATTCACTTATTTCATTTATCTCTCTCAATGGAACCTAAGTCTTAAGGCCATAATTCTGTCTGCTATACAGTCTTCCCCTGCACATATTCCCAATTTAGCTGTTTTTAGAATCAAGATCAGTCAATATCCAATAAGAAATAAAAGGGCTCTGAGAAGGCATGCACTAATTTTATCCTTAAGTAAAACATCAGAAAACACAATTAATTCCTATTTTCACTTCATACACCCAACAAAAGTTACAGCATAGAGAATCTGACATGACCAGTCCTCAAAAAGCCACTTATCTGTAACACACCTTTTCAGTGGAAAGATTAGTTTCTGTGTCATGTTTTTTCTGAGTGAAGACAATTGTAAACACAGCATGAGAGCGACTGCTAGTTTCATTCATGTTCGTAGCTGCCACAGTCCTAAAAGATGAACATATACATATGTATTCAGAAAATTGCAGCCTCTGTGCTCCAAGGGCAGGACAAAATGCACCTGGGGAAGCATGAAATCAAGAGGCTGTGCAGTTTTTTTGTGACCAAGAGCAAGCCAGGCTGAATAATATTACCAATCCTTTGATCTGCACTACTGATTTTTTCCTGAATTCACTACAATTTAAACAGAGCATCCTCAAGCCATATACTGATCAATCTACCTTATATTCAGACAAGAAAATGTCATCAGCATTTATGCCACTCTTTCTTTTTCTTTCCCACAGGGACTGTTAAATGAAACAGCTTACTAAAACCTATAACTAACACATGATAGAAACTATTGCTAAAGCAGAACCTAAAGCTGGAATGTTAAGCTTTGGTCCTGATTACTTAAGCTACCAGAAGAGGATACTTGCATTTACGTGCTTAATTATACAAAGATAAATACTACACATATACAAAACATACAAATATATATAATTTGGATATATACAAATACATTGCACAAGGAAGGCAAACTTTATAAAAAGCTAACATAATAATTTACATATTTTATCTCATGCCATTACAAATTTTAAATATCTAAAAAGTGATCTGCAGCATTATTTGACCACATAAATCAATTTTGTTCTCTTAGCAGCACTGATCATTGTATATTTTCATTAGATATCTAACCTGAGATTTTTTTTTTTTTTTTGAAGTGCCAGGATATAACTAAGTATTTCAAATTTGGTGCTGTATGCCATGTGCACCCACGAGAGAGCCAAAAAGCCGTTATAACAAAGCAGCATCACTAACCTGGCTTTATTCCCAGCATCCATGAGGTCTGCAATGTCTGTGTAAGACGTGACTGCTAGCTTGGAGAGATCTTCCACGTACGGTCCGAGCAGAGGATGTTCTCGCACACGCAGATTTCCCTTATTCTTCGGGTTTAATAAGTCTCTGACCCTCTCGCAATAAATTTCCATATAGCTCACCTGAAAATGGGAATTTGCATGGAATTTCATAATTTTTAAGGCTCCTTTTGAAAAAGGCTGGTGTTTAATTAAAATCCACTACATTTGAGTTAATAACTTAATTTTCCTTATTATATAGAAACGAGCAAAATTTTATCTTTCCAAAGAAGCAGACAGGACAGTAAAGAATCTGCTCACAAGGAACTTCCCTTGCCATCCTCCAAAGCAAAAACGAAGGAAAAAGAAACGTGAATTTCTTTGTACAAAAGCAACTTTTGGTTATGATGTATACTCAAGTCCTCTAGAATTCCTGAGTTGTCAGAACAATTATTCAAACTATGGCTATTTTGAATTTGCATGCTTTGAAATAGAATTTACATGTGATGTTATATCACTTATACTTTTCTATTTCCAGTCTGTCCATGAACTCAATTTACTAGCAGGAAGTGTCAAGACTGCATAACTAAGATATTCCAAACAAGGCCTCTACAGAATACAAATTATGTCTATATTAAGAAACATGTAGAACAGGCCTTCCATCTAGCAATCAAGAAAAAAAAATATTGTAAATTTATCTTTTAGTTTCTTAGTACATCATTTACATCATAATTGCTACACTCATAAGCTAGCAGTAGTACACAATGCTAAAAGTAAAAAATCCTACAAAGTAATTGTTGTCCCAGAAAGGTTTTACTTGTATGTTTATATCAAATATGAAACAAAGGCAAATGCTTTCAAAAATATCAATCTAAATGCAGCATGAATATCACAACAGCTAAGGTCAACTTGATTTCCAGGACAAACATCTTTCAATCTCTCAACATACTCACCTCTACAGAATATGACATTTCTTCATTGCTATTGTCATTGATTTTCTCAAACAGTTCTTCACATAGCTGGAAAGAGATTAAGCAAGAGTCAGTAACCAGTCATGACTGAACAGTGACTACTCACTTTATGTCAATATTTTGGCTTTAGAGCAAGGGCAGAGGGAAGAACAATTTACAACAGCCATGCAGAGCCTGACTGAGAAGGTACTTGATCTAAATTAAGACATTATTATGCAAACTTGGTAACTTATTTTATATCCTCTCAAGAGTTGTTCTATATTTAACCATTACTGTCCTTAGAAAATTAGAAAAATAGAAAAAAAAATCAGGTTTCAGGTTTAAATCAACTGGCAGATACCATTTCAAAATCCATTAGCAGCACCTTCATATGAAGGATATGTTAGCTATCAGCAGCCTACTATTTCAAGACTGCTTGTCTATAAATAAGTGAAATATCAGATGCAAAACTAGGATAAGGGAAGAAGAAAGGAACAGTTGCCAAACTCATGGATATGGAATTTTGCCAACATAGAAGAATTAGTGTCAAGAACCCATATTACTTGATATATGATTGTGCTGTACATTTTGTGTACCTAGTGAGAAAGAGAGAAGATTCAAAAAGCACTCCCTGAACGGACAATTCACTTCCTTCCTTTATAGGAAGACTCAAAGTGAAATTGTAGGGAAAAGATTTTGTTTAAAAATTGTAGATAACATGGGTATTAAGTATGTTTCTTAGCATAGCCTTTAATTCACAGGCACTTGAAAACACAGAAAAAAATTGGAATATGAAGAATATAACACAACTTAAATACCAAGCAGTTGCCACAGATATTCAACTCTCACCTCAAACTTAATATTAATGCAAGAAAAATAAAATGCCTAGATACAGCAATGACGTTTCATCACATTTACTCTGCCTATTTGTACAAATACAGTATTCCAAAACTATTTTAAGCTAACCTGCATGCAACCTCAAATGGTAACAGAACACTTGTTGCGTATTTCAGCACAGATGCCCGTGCTATTAACAGAGAACAACACTGTGCATTGGCTATTTCATACCTGTGGCAGAGGGCCAATGCCTCCTACTGCAAACCTATAGCAGAATGATGACTCAAATGCTATTCAGCAGATTTATTTATTGAAATCCAATGTCACATTTTTACTTTAGGAAGAGAGCAATGCAGTATCTTCCAACAAATGTGTGGTCCAATATCAGTGGCTATGTACTGTATAAAGGCAAAGCCTGCACTTAGGAGTGCTGGACAACCACAAGCTACAGTACTCTGACTTTATTATGATAGCATCAAGTGTGCCTGTCAGAACTTCCTATGGGGGGGCATCTCAACTTCCTTACCTTTCACACGCAAATTTCAAAATAAATTTCAGAGGGTGTAACACTAGACTATATTCAGATGCTTTAAATATCTCATACCAATACTTTGATATACTTCATTTTTTTAAAGATATTAATATGTTAACCACTTTTTAGCTTTGTAAGCGTTGTTTCCACATGCTGTTTGTGGCATGTTCATCAGCAGTATGATTCAAATTCCTGCTCAATAAGGAGTACTCATGTGCTGTCAAGTTAGAGGAGGATTCAACAAACACAGCAAATAAGACATCTTCAATTACTAGTTTGTTAGCAGAGGGAACAGAAAATATATATTGATGTAGCAAAAGTATACACATATCCTACACTAAAAATGTTAAATGATAATGAAAATTTCTTATGGCATTCTTTTCTTAAGTAGATTTCTTTCACTTCAGAAAGCCATGGCTTTCTGTGAATTGCTACTGCAATACAGAAAGACTGTATCAGCAAGTAAGCGCCTGAATAGGCTATGTAAAATAAATATACTTTGAATATTTGTGCCTGCTTGTTTTGTTCTACCTGTGGGATTATGCCTGCTTGGCTCTCCTCTTGCTTGCCCATCATGGTGTAAGACTTTCCAGCTCCAGTTTGCCCATAGGCAAAAATGCATACATTGTAGCCCTCAAAGGCATGCAGCAGCATCTCCTTCCCGATGTCATTGTACACGCGGCTCTGCGATGCAAAGCAGGGATCTTCAGGCTGAAGAGACATGAAAATAACACCAATAAATTGTCTTCTCTCATGCAAGCAACATTTCAAAAAGCAGTTAGTTTTATTTCATTTTTATCTGGTCAGTCTGTCTCAGGAAAAGGTAACCTAGCACATTTTTACACTTAGATTTATTTGGTAAATAAATATTTGGTAAATACCAGCTGCTCAGCATAGCCACAAATCAAACAGCAATCAGGAAACAAGAGTTGAAAGCATTTTTCTTCTCAGAATCATCAATAAGATGATCCTTTTTTCCTCATCAAAAAGAATACAGTTGTCAGATCAAGGCAAGTGCGCAAGCTGTTCTAAACAAAACTTTGCAACCTGAAGACATTAACCCTCCATCTTCTGCGTAGGGAATTTCAGGCACTCAGACACTGTACTCTCACCACATTCCAACATCCAGGTTACTGGGCACAATCCAAAATGCAGCTTCAGGGAAAGTCCAGGAAGAAAAATACAGTGGTAGAAACAGGATTTGCAGTGTATATTGTTATATTTTATTCCTGAAGTCATTTCTTGACTATTTAGCAAAGTCTTTGGTCAGTATTTGAGAAATTTATTTAATCACAATAATGAAAATTATGCAGACGTTTCAAGCTGCACAAATCAGAAAAGACTGAACAATTTATCACTGAAATATGTGTGCAAGTAGGTCACTACACTGGACATCACTATGTTATTATTGATCAAGCATTTTCTCTCTTCCGGAGACCCTGGGATTTCAACATTATTTCTTCCTGATATTGTGACAAAACTCAAGGGTGCTGACACTATGTCAAGCTCACACTTTTACCAGACCACTTTTCTTTCTTAATGCTGCATAGTCGCTAGTTTTAATCTCTTAGTAGGTTCATAATGTTTTTCTGACTGACACTGTAAGCTACTTTCACAGCTACTTTGAGATCAGGTTCTTCAAGAGGAAGATTCGGTAAGACTTGCACAAATCCAAGCTTCTCTAAAGTCGTACCATAAAAATATTCTTACTGGTCACAGTTTTGCTCAGAAATATTAAGCCCTACCTGTATTACCCAAATCATTACTATTAAATTTGGAGAAAAATATTAATTTTTATATACACACACACACACACACACACACAAACCTTTCAGGAAAATAAGACAGGAGAAGGGCATTGGGTAAAAAAATACAGTGCAGCTGTAAAACAATTACTGGAAGTCAGCAAGACCTCAGAAGCAACTCACAGGAGGGTGCGGCAGAGCAGTTAGATGACAGAGTTTATTGCTTTTACAGCTAACAAAAGCCGTTTACAGCTAACAGAAGTATGGATCACTACTCTGCCTTTTCCCGATACACCAAGAAAATCCAGATCATATTTTTTCTTGAATTGCAAATACTTACACAACTTTCACTTGTCTGATCAAGAGGAGAACTGAGGCAACTGCAGTTGCAACCTTAAAATATTTTGAATATAGTGGGCTGATGACTATTTTCAGTAATCTCTCTCAAGTAGCCACAACTTGTTACCAAGCCCTAGGAGATCTAGTCCTCCTGTTTCTCCCATCTCCAAACAGGAAAAGATAACACAAAATGACAAGCCTTTAACTGGATGAGTGCACAGAGAGTCAAACCAGAAACATTTGAAAAGAATGAAGTGATCACGGAAGGGGAAAAAATAGTAGTTAAATGAAGACAATCAAAAAAAAATTTTTACTTGCAAGTAACAGAACTTACCGATGTATGGGACCAATAGGAGTAGTCAAAGCTGAAGGACTTTGGCGCTTCCTTGGGGTTCTTTGGGTTGATAATACCTACAGGGAAAAGAAAAATTCAAACAGTGTAAAAATTACACATGTGTATGTGTTTGTGTGTGTGTTTTCCAACAAGACAGCTACATATCTTCTGCCTGCAGGTGATAAATATGCAATCATTTCAGCTGCCACTTTAATAGCATACTTGCAACTTCAATATTCCAAAAAAGGTAAATTATAAGCACAGCTCTTGCTGCAGAAGTGGAACTCTACTGTTTCCTCTTTTCAAGACTAGAGTGGTGGAAATACATAAAATATATCATCATTTACCTTAAAATACAAGCATGCAAAAGCCTGCAACAAAAATCTATACATTGGTGAGAACAGTCTTCCTGGGAACAATTTCTGCTCATACTTGTCATTCTAAACAACGACTGTTTCTCACATACTCAAGGCAGTTCACTTATGCTTCTGGGTAGATGCATCTTCTTCACTTCCACCATCACCCTAACAGCCATAGCTCTCCTTATGAACTTAGTTTCAGCTTGTACTGAAGTTTTCCAAAGCATGTGCTTACAGAATCCCATTCAAAATTTAACCACTCTCCCAAATGCTGCGTCCCTAAGCAAGGCCACTGCCCAAGAATACAGTTTGGAAAGGGGTTGCTCTGTAGATTGCAAACAGCAACAGTTGCTACTCTGTTTCCTGGGGCCAATTCCATTTCACTTGGATGAGCCTTGTGCTGACATTCTTGCCTTATAAAAGCTGACAGACACGCAAAGCCAACGAACGATATGCCTCGTACCAGCACAGCATCACAAGGCAAAAATGCACGCGGCTCTGGATAGCAACATGGCTATCAACATAAAACAAACCCGTAACCTAAGTGATCATATGTGGGTTGTTTCCCTTTACTAGTCTCAGCCAGAGAGCAGGAAACGTACAGCACACACTTGAAGAAGTTCTAAAGTTGACGACAAGTAACAGACCCCCAAAATCACTTTCTTGCAAGAGGAAAAAAGCATTAATTACCTTTATGTCACATCACTGCAATTTTATCCTATAGGGGCAAATGCAATCATGGCAAAGAGCTCTGATCTCACCTATTTATCTTATGACATGAGTGATTTGTTGCTTCACAGAATCTACAGTTAAATAAGAAGCCTTCATTTTTATTATTGTAAAAAAATCCTGCCGTCTCGGCCAAGACAAAGTCGTGTTTGTTCTCTCCGAGGAAACAATAGAGTTGGATCACAGACTCTCCTGTGGTCGAAAACGGAACAAGCAGCATTATTCAAAACCCCAGCATTACTCAAAAATTAGTTTGTTGTGAAAATACACATTTCCCTTTTTTAAAAAAAAAAAAGTTTCAAATCTCTTAAAAGAGGCCACCTCTTTCAGAAAGAAAGCAAAGCAGCCAACAGCCTCAGTTAAAAGACTAACTAGTTTTCCCACTCAGTTTGCTTGGTGTTTGGAAATGCAATACGCACTTGCCATAAAGCTTAGCCCACCTGTTTTCATCTTAAATTTGATCCATCACATTCATGAAGGGTAAAGTTCAGGCTCCACAATTTAGGCTAGTGGTTACCTTTTTCTTTTTTCTTTTGTTTTTTAATATAGGCTTCCTTCATCTGCTTCACACTAAGTTCCACATCCACCTCACTGTCTTTTCTAGGGTGCACGTTTTTCCCCAAAGTATACCCTGAGAAGCATGACACTAGGAAAGGGTGACTAACGTGCGAGAAGTCAACTATGTCAGAGGTTGGGAATGCAGCTTCCACAGCAACACGAATGAAACAGAGGAAGCCTCCCGGCTGCCAGGAACTCTGCTTGCTGCCCGCTCTACTGCAGTCCAGCCCCAGCCTTCTCATACACCTAGAGCTCCAAGTTTCAGGTCTATTTATCTGATTCCTGTTGCTCACAGGCAGCCCTGCATCCTTCACTTTCATCAGTAGTTTAAGGGAATTCCTGCTACATTTGCAAAGGCACCCAACAGAGACCAATTATGAAAATGTAAGATTATGATCTCCACTAATATCAAGCACACTGAAACCGTCTTCACTTGAAACACTGAACATCAGGGGAGTAGCTGGCAGCAATCAAGTCTGATGTGGTCGCAGTGTGAACTAAGTGACCAGGCAGGTTATGACCCCAGATACCACATCTGACAAAAGCTGGTGAGGAAGCTAAGAGAACAGGGATTCAATCTAAAGCAACTGACCTACACGGGTGTCTGTTACATGAAGTATCTTCTTTGGAGGGACAAGCAGATCCATAAAATCTAGCTACTTGTAGAGAACCTAAAGAATATTTTTGAAGAAAATTAAAGGTCATCTTTATTATACAAATAACCTTTAATCCTAAGGTTTCATGGGGAAAACTGCAAAAGAACCAAAAATAACAAGCAATATCTTAAATAACCCATGATCAGGCATAAGCTAGATTTAGCTGGCACCATTAACTTATGTACCATGTTATTCGCGAGCTACATTTCCAGCTGAATAAGGAAATGAACTGAAGTAAAAACTAGACGGCTCCAGGGGCTCCAGTATCTAAAAGAATAAAAGCTTCTGAGTTTTGTTTGTTTTTTAAAGTACACAAGGCCAAGAAGAACCATTATTAGTGAATCATGAAATGGGTCACCATCTATCTCCTCTCACCACACCAGACTCATGGAATGGTACACAAACTAATGGATTAATTACAGAGCCTCAGGAAATGAGAAAGGCAATAAGGCAGAGATCACAGCAGGGAACACATTAATGGCCTTTTTATCTTACAGAATAAATTTGTTTATCTGATATTTTCAAAGGACCAATGTGGCAATTAACTTTTCTGTTTGCAAACTGACACTAACGCTTTGTGCTAGAGCTATAATTAGTTACCATCAGCATGGCACTGTAGCAACTTTTAATGCTGGAGTAAGCCAAAGCAGCCAGTTTCTGAGAAACCTGATCCCTTTTCCAGGTCCCATACTTCACCAAGTGCCAATTTCTTAGGTCACGTGGAATCCTTCAGCTTTTTACAAGCTCAGGTTTTCTGAACACATCAGAAAGTAGAAGAGGTATTAAAAACAAAAAATCCTCCTATACTGTTGATAATGAGGAGGATTATGTACAACTCTGACAGAAATGTGAAAAGCGCCAAAAAAAAAGAGCTGAAGATATTATTCTCCTTTATTCTCCTTCAGTTACTAAAACTCCCCGAGGAACAATCAGCTAACTAAAGTTCAGATTTGCAGTCCATCATTTTCTTTTAGAACAGCAAACTGAGGGAAAAGGCATAGGAATATTCATGTTTCAAAACTACATTCTGCAATCTCTTGCTTTAGTTGGGGGAAATAAACGTCCAGTTTGTCTTATTTGAACTATTCAAAATTTCTGGAAGTTCATAATATGCTTCAAATTAAGGCACAGTATTTACATCGGTTTTCTATTTTGGTAAGCAAATACAATAGGCAAAAAAACATTAAATGTCATAAATTGACATAAAACTTAAATATAAGCACACTGTGTGAATAAGCAGCACTACCATCACTGCCATCCCCATCCAGTAACACACAAATTATATAGGAAGTAGGTTTACATTTTGAAAGCCTCTTTCTCCTTACAGGAGAAGTCATACACTGTTGCTTCATGTTGAGGTGCATTTAAGTGATCTATACATTCTCTAAAGTTCAAATTATTTTAACATTTTAAAGCTGTTTAATGTTTGTTTTTGACACTTAACTACAAACATACACAACTCACCATTTTAAATAACCTTACCCCTACCAAATAATCAACATACAGCAATTATTTCCTAGTATAAAATATATATATATATATATTTTATATATATAGTACTATATATATATATATAGTACACAAAAAAGCACATGCTATCCTGACCCCTTTGGTAAATTTTAATTTTCTGAAGTACTATGAAGTAGTAGTATACATCCAGCAGCTGCATTTCCTCTACACGGTATGCTTTGTGCATAGAGTTTGTCACTGAATTGAGTTTTTGAAGGGTAGAAAAACATGAAGGTAAGTAATGTCACAAACAAATTGTGACCATCATTTTCTGTGAGGAAGTCATCCATTTAAAAGTCCCAATGAGCAATTCAAAACCCAAACACAGTGACAATCTTACAATGCAGCTCACAGGCACCATTTCCATAACAACAATATAACTTCCAAAATTGGAAGTGGGCTCCAAAGCTTTAGAAAGATCAACGTGACATTCTTAAGGCCTTCTTATCAAAATGGATCCTGCACAATTGCACAGCTGGAAAACTGCAGGGGCAAAAAAAGAGGATAAAAAGTGACCTATGGCCAGGAACATAAGAGATAGTTAAATAACTTCTATTCCCACGCTCCCTCAAACACAGAAGAACAATGTCCGTCCTTCTCCTCCACTTAGTCAACTAATACAATAGAAATGACATAGCTTTTTTTTTTCCCCCCCTCCTCCCTCCTTCTTCCTCCTCTCCCCTTTCTCCATTTTCAGATGCAGCTGATAAGTACGGTTAGCTCCAAGAAAGGACTTTTTCAAAACAGAATACATAGTATTCTTTTCTTCTTGCAGTCTGAATCTGCATTACGAACTACACACTTAACCCAATTAGTCTGTGTACAAGGAAAAAAATGGTAAGGACTGCATAGTCTAATAAAAGATAAAGAGAAAGACAAGCACAAACAAGCAAGGAATGATGGTTCTAGATGTGCTGTGTGAAGAATACCAAACCATTCACCATGTTTGATTTTACCCACTTTGATTAAGCACACTTAAACAGGCAGCTTTATTTCTATGCTTAAGACACTTAACATAGACCATTCTGTACACCACTGCTTGTTCCCTAACTAATATTTTTCAAACCATTCACTATCCACTCTGTCAGCTAGCACTGAAATAAAATACTTTCAGATTTTCTGATCTACTAGACCAAATCCACTGATAATTTTAATTAAAAAAAGAAACTGTAATTCTGTATTTTGCAATGCACTTTACCTTTCAATTGTCATTTCAGACACCTAAATATTTTTGCCTTAAAAGACAATCTTGACTTGCTGAAACTT